TTCAGCATCTTAGCTGTAGAGGGCAGTGTTACTGGCCCTCGTATGTGGGATCCGAACCGGGGCCCTCTGGCATCCCAAGCGAGTTCTTAACCATCGCGCCACTCGGCCGGCCCCCAGCCCACTGCCTGTTTTTATAAATAAAGTTTTATTGGAATACAGACATACTCACTTGTTTACATAGTATCTATGGCTGCCTTTGAGCTGTGTCTACAGAGTTGAATGGTGTCAACAGAGACCATATGTAGCTCACAAGAACTACTTACTGTCTCTCCCTTTCTAGAAAAAGTTTGCCAACCCCTGAAATAGAATTTTCAAGACAGATTGATCGGCTGTCCTGAAACTCCCCGGGGAAAGATGTTTGCATTCCTCTGTGCAAGCCAAGCATAGTGAAAATCACTGATCCCACTGGTAGTTAACATTGTTCTAATGACTTTAGTCTACAATTAGGGCTAAAGTTTGAAGCAAAGGTATCTGTGGAAACTGAGCTAATGAGACAGCCCTCAGTAGTTGCCCGTAATCAGTGAAGGGGACAGCGCTGCCCTATCTTATCCTCTGGTATCATTTGCTATTCCTTGGAGCTTATTCTCTTTTCGTAGCCTGAACTTGAATGTGTCGTGTTGGGTGGACAAGAAAGAGCACCTGATCCACAATGGAACCATTCTATTTTTATGAGCTCCAGCCATGCAGTCCAGAGTGGGATATGGCCAGGGAGTGTTGGAGTTGGATTTGAGGGTGCATACCAGTGGCAATTCTGCTTACAAATCAGCCAGCATTGCATTCCTTTGCAGGAACTCTGTCACGCTGTTTCTGAGGAAGTATAATTTTGCTTCTTTGCCAGCAGCTGCACAGACATATTTTCCACATTACTCAAGCTTCTGCTAGTGGCCACCTGGATGTGACAGAGAGAGTCAAGCCTCAACTGAATTACAAGTTATCAGCCATCTTAATTCGTTTCCAGGAAGTTAAAAATTATCCACAGTGTATTTCCTGATAATATGAAAAACCAAGGATTTTTTTTCATGCCTTTTTGAATATTTCTGTTTAGAACATAAATAGATGAGCAGTGCTGATGATGTTCCCTTAAAGTGCTCTGTACGTGGCTGCCTATTTTGGCCTATTTATGTTAACAATGAACTTGAGTGAAGCTAATGAGAAGGTTATTTTAGGGCCTTGGAAACCGCAGTAGAGGAAAATGACAGTTCGCACAGAACCATAGTGTGACTGAAATAGAAAGGTGGTGACTGGGCTGTCTCTGTAGAAGCAGAAAAAGCAGGCAGGAGAGGACTGATGATACTGCTTTGAAGCGTTTGGTTTGCTTATTAGCATGTCCAGTCTCTTTCTGAGCAAGTTTTCTGGCTGCCGTGGAGACACAGAACAAAAGATTCCATTTTAAAATGACTCAAAGTGATCGAGGTTTCTACAGGGTCCCTTCTGCGTCCCCCCTGTAGCACTGCTCAGTGCAGTGGACTTCATACTTTATACATGCCAGGGAACAAGGAGAGGAGCACACAGACAGTGACCGCTTCATCACACTTAAGGCTGCACAGAGCAACTGAGGCTGCTGTGAGGTGGTCAAGAAAGAGAACTTTTGTTTTCAGGAGCTATGTTGAGTGAGAGGACATTACAGTGAGAGCAAATGCCTACCCAGCCACCCAGTCCAATCTCTGGCAGGGATCATAGAGCTGCTGATCTGTAGAAGCCCTGGCTGAGGCTTCTAATTTGATATTTAACGTCTCTGATGAATTTGGGTCAAGGTGAATAGATCCGTTTAAAAACTCTACTCCTGAACTTTATGAAAACCCAAAGGAAGATCTGACCCAGTTCTTCTCCCACTGCCTCTGTTAACCACCATCTCTTCTTACCAGGAGAGTCTTTAAGTTTTTAAAAGAGCCAGTTTTCTCCCATCACAAACCATTCTATTTGCAAATTAGTGCACAGCATGGGCACTGTTTGTTGATCTTATCTCACTCATTTTAACACCACTGGGAGGAAATACTGGTTGTTCTCCCGTGCTGGCCAGCTCTCCAGCACATTTTTTTTAGTCTCTGTGTCAGTCTGTCCTGTCACTCCCATATCCCATTTCTCACCTTTTGTCTCAATTGTTACTGAGAACTGGAGTCAGGAAACACCCTCACAATTCTGAAAATAACAACTTATCCATTACCGGTAACAGTCTTTCGCTGTGGGATGGTTGACATTTCATTTCTGTGATAAAAATGTATACCATCCAGGCTCTCATTAGCAACATTTCTTTCAATTAGACGCCAAGATTAATGATTTTTAATTCAACATATCCTTTGGTAATTTCTTCTAAATTTTATTATAGCTCCTATTTCTTTTAAAAGCTGGTTAGTTCCAAGA